CCGCCCCCGCCGCCCCCGCCGCCGAGATACCTACCGTGGCAGAGGTCTGCCCACAGTCCCATGGTGATAAGTGGTACCTTTGTTCTTACAAGATAGAATCCTGTGCAAAAGACTACCAAACCAAGGAGGCGATTAGTAAGTGTGTGCGCGAATATTTCGCCATGATGCCTGAGCAACCTACCAAGGCAGACCTCTGCCCACCGTTTAATGGCAACATGACTGCTTGTAAGGAGGCAGCAACAGCGTGTTGGGAAAAGGATAAATTCTCTACTAAGGAGACGATGATTAAGTGTGTACACGCCCGCGCCCCCAAGCGACCTACCGAGTCAAAGCTAGCTGCTAGGGCAGATCTACCTACCGAGGCAGAGCTTTGTGCACCGTTTAATAACATCAGGCATCATTGTATGGCTGCAACAAGGGCGTGTTATGAGAAGGATAGGCGCTTGATGTCTTCTAAGAAGGCGTTAATTAAGTGTGTGCAGGCCGCCGCCGCCGCCGCCGCCGAGCGACCTACCGATGAAGAGCTCTGCGCACCGTTTAATGGCGATATACAGACTTGTGGTGAAGTAAGAGCCGTGTGTGCGTATAGGGGCAAGCTAGCCAGGAAGGCGATGATTAAGTGTGTGCACGACATCGTCGCCGAGCGACCTAAGGAGGCAGAGCTCTGCCCACTGTTTGATAAATTGGGCGGCAGGAATTTTTGTATTGAGGCAAGGGACAGGTGTCTTCTCAAGTACTATACCAAGGTAGAGATACTTCAGTGTGCGCACGACATCGCCGCCGCCGCCGCCATCGCCAACCAAATTACCGATGAAGAGCTCTGCCTACCGTTCAATGGCGATAAGGGGGCTTGTAGAATTGAAAGAATCAACTGTATAAAGAGGGGCAAGCTAACCAGGAAGGCGATGATTAAGTGTGTGCACGACGGCGCCGGCAAGCTCACTGCCGAAGAATTTGATGACTCTCCAATCTGGTCTCTCTAGTTGTCATATTATACGGCTGGGACTCAACAAGAGCTTAGAATCGTTACAGGAGGCCATGGCGGACCAGCTGCAAGCTTCGGGCATACCTGTTTCTTTCATGTATATCTAGTCTTTGCCCTCCTCTCGCTCATGACAAGTTGAGGACCTTTAAACACCTTTGGGATCATCTTTAAATTGAGTTGTTACCACCTCAGCCATGAAAACCTAGCCCTTGTCACATGTGGCTAGCAGGTTCCTTTCCGAGTTGTTGTTACGATTGGCAGCTATGGACTGAGTTGGCCATGGGATAGTTGCTTTGACCGGGATACTCTCTATTTGGACACGGATGCAAAACACCACATTGGAGTTGTGTTGGCGACGGGATAAGTGTATAGTAATTGCGCAGAGTGTTCCTAGGGTCTCGGGTTTAATAAATTAGGACTGATTTGCTACTTATAAAGTTGGCTACTATCTTGGCTTATAGCCTATAATCCTCAAGGTTTTTATAAGCTATAGTTAATTAAATATTAAGATTAAAATTAGTATTTGCTAGTATCTTGGAGGCCTACCTATCTAAGGACAAGTCCACGTTAACGAGTATAATTGGTTTAAAGCTGGAATCAGGCTTGTATTTATAAAGAATAGTAGTTAACCTAAGCTATTTTACTATACTTGATTTTAAAGTTCAAAACAAAAAAAGAGCTACTTAATATAGCTAAGAAGGAAAAATAACATCTTTTAAGCCAGATAAAGCCTTTAAAGGCTATTACTAGCTCTTAGCTTCTAGCAGCTTTGGCAGCTATAAGCTAATTATCTTTTCGATAGAATACCCCAAGTGGCTAGATTTAGTTGCTAGCGAGCTTTAGCAACTACTAGTTTTAAAAGCTAGTAGTTGTATAGTAATAACTCGTAACTTAACTAAACTTGTTATCTAAACACTCGACAATAACGTTAAGCTCAGGATTTTGATTTTTTGTTCCTTCCTCATCTGTACACTCCCTAAGCTTCTCTTTGCATTTTTCCTCGGACACATCGTACTTGTTGCCAAAAACCTGGCGAGTCAAGCATAAATCTTGAATCATTTTGATTTTCTGAGATTGCGTCGCGCCATTTGGAAACTGCGGGGTTGACTTATTCGGGTCCGGCTCATGGTCGTCGAAACATTCTTTAAATGTCTTGTAGCCGTCTAGTTTGCGAAGAAAAGGAATCTCGCACCAAAACTTTGTGCCGTTGCACTCCTCTGTCTCGGGGTCCTGATTCCAACAATCATGCTGAGTACCCTTTAGAAAGGGCTTTTTGGCGTTTGTGCCCTGGGCCAAGGCAGTGCTAAGAGTAGCAGTAATTGTAAGGAGAATAGTGTACTTCATTATACCAGGTTTTAATAAACGATATAATCAAGACTTTGGTAACTTGACGAAGAAATTGAATAGTTGAATAAGCCGGGTAGTATTCTTAATAAGAGGGTAAAGAATATTGCGAGTAGTAAAATAATAGCTACTAGAGAATATATATAGTAAGTCGGAAAGGACACTTGTGTATTTATTACGTAATATATAGTTAAATATAGTAGTAATAGTAAGCATTACAAACCAATCTTAACAGTAGCTTTATTAATATTAATTCCAAGTTTCAAGTATATCTTCTTTTATTATAAGGTTAAGTATCCATGCCCCCGCCGGTAACAGCAGGGATATAGCAAGGTTAGTAGCCAGGGAAAGTGCCGGTTTTTGCTTTAGGAGAGAAATTATCATGGCGCGACTAAGCGCCAAGAAGATACGCCAAGACGTATTCTGAGTTTTGGTACTTGAGAGCCTAGCCAACCATGTTCGAGAATAGTTAGACTCGCTACGTAACAATTCGGGTTGCCCCATTAATCGGAAGCTATAGTCATACGATATATCGAAAAGGGTCGCTATGCGTTTACAGGGATGCAGTTTTCTTGTCTATTTGGTGGCATTAGTAGTCGCCACATGATCGAAACAACAAATGAACCTGTGCATTGACAGATTCTTAGCTTTCGTACTGTCACCTATCTGCATTTATAGGGCCAAAACGGTATGCGATTAATATGCACCAGCAGCCGGCGGTCGCTTAATACTGGAGCACCCATCACGTAAATGTTGTACTCTGGCAGATTACTATTGACGCAGTTGTCTCATGTGGCTACATGTGTAGTAATTAAATATAATGTACTACTTGAAACAAGAATTCATGCTCTCTCTTTAGATTTCCAACTAGATTTGTTTTGGAAGCATTTTCATGCCGGTCCACCGAACAAGTAATATTCGCCCCCGAAATTCTGACAATAAATCGACAGTGCCACGTTCTGACATACGGCCGAGGCAATCTTCTGATTGGATTGAGGTGGGGTGATACCCAACATCTCTCGAGTCAAGTCCTAGCAGAACCGACCCTGTTACGGGATATTACCGAGTCAGGCATGGACTATCGCAAATTCAAAATATCCAACCAAGTCACGGCAGCACATGGTTTATTACCAAGCACAGCTCGTGTATATACCTTGTTTTCTCTCTTGCATGCATCGCTAGGCGCTAGATCCACATGACGCCTGGACGAATATTGGCTGTGCCCGTCTCATTTGACCGGACTCAACTGGCAGTCCTGTCGCGAAACCATACACACGTAATACTCGGCTGTTATTCTCGATGGAAGGACATGATGCAATATCACGCGCAGGGTCCAGCTTGCACCGTGGCCGCATCTCAAGATTACAGAGTCAAGACACTTGTTTGATCCGTGTTCCGCTACCATGTGGTCTCGCCTCACTCCCTTACTTTTAACTAACAAATCCGTTTCCTCCACGCCTTGTCTCGCCTGGAGCCGGGCACCTTGAATCTCTCGGCTTGTGGGGGTGGGTTTGTTTCCGTAGCGCTTCTCCATCTCTTTAACTGTTATATGGGCGTGCTATATAAGTACCGTATCGCTTCCTCGTGACCAAAGCCTCTCCATAATACATGGTATCGGTAGCTGTTTGTCACACTTGGAGTGGCACCAATTAATATAATAAAAATTATATATTAAATTAATATAAAAAAAATAAAAAAAAAGGCTAGCTAATCACCAGGACCCACTAGTAGCACAATCAGTAGCTGTACCTAGCTAATTGAACAGTAACACACAATTCAAAAAACACTGCACGCATCGCGATGCGTCAAATCCACTAGCTCAAGAGGTGATTCATGACCTTAATAAAAATTATATATACCCTTTTTATAGGTACACTTATCATTATAATTACCTACGCGCGGGTCAGGGCTTGCCCTTATTTATGTAATGTGTACGTAATCTGTACCCGTTATAGGTGTGCTGCCAACAGACGCCGGCCACTTGCACGGCAATGAGGCCACAGTTGCAGAAAGCGGAAACATCCGAACAACGGTGGCCGGAGGATGGAAGTAGCTGGCATATCCCCCTGGCCATTCATGCAATTTGAGTATATGGTATCAATGCTTTATAACTGATTATCGATGCTTTATAACTGATTCACGGCGCTTAGCAAGACCCTCTTCGATGTGCACGTGGATCCCAACCGGCTTGACTCGGCATTGTCATGCTAGCAATCCAATTGTTGTCTGCTGCTTTAAACATCTTTTCCCTTGTCCCTTGTAATCGCCTCTCTGGGTGCGTTACGTATGAATATCCCTTTTTTTTTTCTTGTCGAGGGCCATGGCAAAGGCGTTTCAACTTTACCATGTGGGCATGTCATCCATTATCAACCCACCAGACCAGTTGCACGTGGGGAAATGTCAATGTGTCGCACAAAAAATAGGCGTGGCCACGCCACAAGTAATTATCTGTTAATACCCCTTATATCCTGCGACAATGTGACCCCAGCCAGTGCCATCTCCACCTGTTGACCTGGTAGCTGCAACAGTGTCAAAATGGGTCTCCCCTCAAACACGAGTTCGACGACGCAAACACCTACTCCGTGACTTCGGAGGTGTCGCCGGATGGTTCTCGGAGACGAGTCGATGTCGTTGTAAAGCGATATGACAAGAATCATCACGCCATGTCTGCTTTGCTCTGGGTAGAGTGTAAGCGGCCTGGTGGCAGCCTAAGAGAAGTGGAAAAGCAGGCAGTAGACGCGGCCAAGAGATGCGTCCACGCGGACAACTTGTCCTTCATTCACACCATGACCACGGTCTGCGTATTCTTTCGCATGCGGTTTTACGAAAGGGGCGGAAGGCACCTTACGGGGAAGCGACTTCGGCAGACAGGACTCAATACGTCGAGACGTCGATTCACAAAATGCCATCTACATCAGAGACATTATATCAAATGCAATAGTATTTTTTTTTTTTTTGAGTCATCCAACATGTTTCTAGTCAGAATAGCACAATTTACATTGGCGCAGTGAAAACCACCATTCAAGCTTACCATGCCAGGGCAAATCCAGCCAAGACGCCGTCTTGCAAGTAGGCGCTGCTTCCTCATATAAGCGAATGCTGGCCACGTACGGCAAGTTTTTCCGTGTTTTGCCCAAGCCAATACGCAGTGGCCTTGAAGTGTCTACTACCAAGAGATCAAGGGCCCAGTCGAAGCGATACTGCCCTACGCAGGCTCGACGACCGTCACCGTAATGAATCAGTATGCCAATGATTGGCTTGTGTGAGACACCTTTGTCAATGCAGCAAGCAATTCCCACGACATTCTCCAATCGACAGTTCGTATAGTACCACAGTTCATTGTATTGGGTATAAGGCGGCGATGACGAAGGCCTCATTGACGGCTGATAGGTTTCCCCATAACGCTGGCCGACATTCTCGGGTACACTGTCTTCATCGTTCGTGCTTTCGATCCCGAAGTACTTGATCCTTTTATCGTCGCAGAGCGGGTCCCAATCGTTGATGTATATCCGCGACGGGCTCTTCGTTGTTCTGTAAATGAGGTGGAACTGAAGTCGGAGGCCAGGATGTACGTTGTAACTCCCGAACATGACTGCTCTTCCCTGGCTTGGATAAAGCTAAATCGCTTAAGGTCAGCGCGAGTGCTCTGTCTTCAACAATTCTACATCGTACCATAAAACCTAGAAAGCCAGACTCAGGATGCTTGACTGCCCAAACCTGTACCAGGTATTCGTCCGCGTCGATAGGCATATACATCCACAACACGGCGCTTGCATCATAGTCCAAGTCGAGATCGAACTGTGTTGTGGTGTCTAAGCTGTGCGCATACATCTTTAAAATGTGGAATCCAGAGATGGCGACAGAATAGCCGTTTGTCCCAGGTGTGTTGCAATCAACAAAGCTCATCCTCAAGTTATCTGGTAGTCCCTCAGCAGAGCCACACGTGTCCAGATCTATTAGTCGACAGGATAGACCTGGTGTAGGCCACGCCTGATCAAGGGGCGAGTCGCTTCTTGAAACAGGGGGATCTGTAGAATCTAGGACTCGTCTGATTTCAAGCCCTGGGAGGATGTTAGGATAGGTAATTGCAAGGTTGGAGACAGGATAAGCTAACGTCAGACTGTGTGACTATTCGCACAAGGCCGAAATCTCGGGTTAGCTGCTTCCACCATACTCCGCAGCAATCCAAAGACGAGTTGCAACGGTCATCCCGCTTGGGCAATTCAAAATAAATATTCCTGATTCTAACATGGTCATATGTCACATAGATTGTCTGAACTGTATGGCCTTGCGGCGCATTCAGAATTTGATGGCCCTTGGCATCATTCCCCAGAGACGAGTTCTGTAAGGATTGAAGGTACGAGATACCCTCAATGGTCACATATGTCGCGTAAACATCCTGGGTAAGATGGATCGTGGAATTGGACGGATAGAGGTGTCGCGCGACGTCTTGGCAGCGATGGCGGCCCATTGCCGGTAAAGGTATCCTGCGACCATGTAGCAGAGCTCCCGTGGCAACTGACGTAAGAAACCAAGACCCAGGTTCCTCGCCAGGGTCCGTTTGATGCGTTGCTGCCGTTCAAGTTCGAAGCGGATTGGTGGACTAAACACATAATCCGTGGCAGCGAGGAAGTTTGAGGATATGGGCAACAGCTTGACGGAATAACAGTCGCGGTGAAAACATGGAACTCGGCGACTTTTACTCATGCAACGACTGTCGCAGCACATGTGGAAATAAATCCCGGTCTCATCTTCGTGAGTAGTATAACGCCGAAATTGGAATGGGCTAGTTGCATGGTCATCGTCAAGAGCTGGAGGTCGCACGAGCTAAGAGTGAGCAATCTGAAAATGGCAAGTTCAATGGAACAAAATATGACACACCTGCGACCACTATTTCGCCGTCTTGGACGAGGAACTGGCAGAGCCTGCACCGAGGTTTGCCGATACACACATCCTGTATGCTGTCCTCAGCCGTCATTGCCTCTGGTCGTGTACTAAAATGACGCGGCTCTGGAGGGTTTGAGTGCTTGACCTCTGTGATGCGAGGTGGGTGATAGTCGGGGCAATGGCCGTACTTGTTTGAGATGGGCTGGGTACGGAGTAGAATATCGACATTTGCAACAGTCAAGTGGGTCTTACCTGCTCTGCTTCTGCCGTCTGTCAGACGAAGTAAACGTCAACTGCCAGCACTGAATCTTTCCTTCCCGCCAAGCCAGGTATTCAATGTTCACTCCACCGTGACGCTCGTGCGTGCTGCCGACTTGGATGGGAGCTTCCTCCTCGCTGCCGACAGTGCCTTGACAGCAGCTGTAAATTTTTTATCAAACTCCGGCTGGTTTCTCAATCTCAACTTGGCCAATTTCTCTCCCATGCTTGGATTCTCTCGCAATGTGTCCAGAGCAGTTCCGCACAGGCTTCCAGCCGCTCTGTCGTTGCCAGAAATTTGTACATGACGGAGATTTGTGCCATTTTTCAAGTGTGAGCAACAATTCGTCTGTGAGAGGTGTGGCGCCATCGAGGCCAACGTGAACACGACACCGATAGTACAACTGGCACGGACACATTCAACAAACACACATTACGGCAATATAGTTCTACAACAGCCACTTTGATAAATTCATTCGCCCTGTCTCTACTCCCCGAAAATCTTCTTTTCCTTGAGTGTGGTCTTGTGTGACGCCCTTATTGTCCCTTTCATGATATGAGGCTGGCCAGTGGTGAAGCAAGGAATGTCATTGAACACTCTCATGGCGTTGTTGCCCGCCAATGCCTTTTCCAATTTATTCATCGACTCAAACTTCAGAAGCACCTGCGCCATATAAGGCAGACCAGACTCGAACTGCGTGACTTCCCAGCTTTCCAGGCCCTCGGGTCCCCAGCATCTTTAAAAGCACAGTCAGCATTGTGATTAAACTACATGGCAGATGTGAATTTTGTGGGCGGTGCGCAGAAGATGCTTATCCCAGTGGGATACTTACTCGGAGATGAGCCGCGTATGGGCGTCTGAAAAATACTTGAAATTGAATGCACCCGAGTGGTACATGAACGCTACCGATGCCATTTTACTGGTTTCTTAGGGACCGGTACGTGGGAGGGTCGATTGCAAAATTCAGCGATGAACTAATAATATCAGGATGGGACGCATCGTGCCCTCGTCCATGGTGACCGAGTAATAGCCCGGTTTAAATAATGCAAATCTTGGATGCTTAAACCTGGCATCAACTGGGTTGAGCATCTACCCCACACGCTCGAATTACAGGATATAAGTTGGGTCTTGCCTGGATTCTCCTGCATGACATGTCGTCAGGATTATCGCATCGTGCATGTGACGTCATTTATGCGTGTGGCCATGTGTGCCTTTTCCAAGCTTTAGCAAATGACCACTTGACGCCTGAATGACATTTCCCCTCTTCTCCACTCTTTGCCGTGTGTGGCGAAGCGATGATATAGCAAAGAATGCATTGTGGCAGAACGTCTCGAGGGTGTCTGCCTCGCAGACGAAACCAACTACGAGGGTATAAGCCAAAGATATATTTTATCGTCAGCTTGGCATGAGCAGGCATCTCGGCAGATGGGAAGCCAGGCTAAAGTGAGAAGGATTTTTTGGGCATTGGTCGTGGGAGCAGTAAGGGCATAATTGCTGTAGGGAAACGCTGGTGTAAGGACCAAGGGTGCGAGCAAGGTTATCAAAGGGCTATCGACTGATGTATGTCACCGGCATCAAAACTTTGGCTCTATATCTGACCAAATTCTGAGAAAGGACTTGATGAAGCAAAGGCTAGAGCGATCCAGTCGCGTTGTGTATCACCACGTGTCGAGGAGACAGCCACACTCTGCGGCTACACTGGCAGAACAGTCGGACGCCTTTCTGCGAGTTGGCGAGACGCAAGCTTTCAGAGACATGCGATCGAAGTAACCGATAGAGACCATCGAGTACAGTGAGATGTGGCAATTGAGCTCGTAGAGTGTATGCAAAAGTGGTGAATTCCTTGTGGTTGACAAACTTGATGGAGCCCTGGCGCTAGAATATTGCAGAATAGAATTGCCCAATACCCATACATAACCTTTCAGTTGCAGCTCACCATAGTTGCAGAGGAGATATTGACAAAGAGAAACCTTGACTATCAGACGTTCCTCCAGCTTTGACAGCCCAACAGTAGTCTTGCACGCCTTACAGAACAATCTGAAACGCTCACGAGCTCAATTTAGAATGTGAGCCAGGTTCGTAAGAATCAACACAACTGCTCAGCACAAGAGTCAAGTAGTCGAATCTATTTCCACGGATTCGAAAAATAATCACGCCGAAAAGCTAACACGCATGTTAGAAGGAATTCAAACAATAGACGAGTAAAACTCACCACCAGGGATCAAAGCACTCGCATACATGACGTGCGAAATGGGCTTCAGTTCCTCATCAACGTGTCCCCCCGTTCCATCCCACGACTTGATCAATGTGTCGACCCTGTCCTGGAGCTCCTCATCCGCCCCAATACAACGAACCCCAAGATACGCGCCAAACTCCCTAAACGCCAGCCTCTTGTGTCGCTGCAACCCAGAGCCTCCATGTCGGGAATGGTCCAGCCCATCCCGCAGCATCCGCAGCGACGTGTCGACAAACCCTTCGGCCCACGGCTCGTCAAGACAAAACTGGCACATCCACAGCCCCATGCCCAAGTCGAGGGAGTCGCTTGTCGGCGCCAGCTTTCCAGGGCGCGCCATTATCGCCGAGTAGTCGGCAATCTCGGCGCGCAGGGACAACTCGTCCCCCCCGCCGTACGACTCAGCAGTCTGCTGCAAAAGCCTGTAGACGGCGAACCCCGTGGCGGCGTCGAGATGGCCCTCTGACGGGACCAGAACCTCCCTCATGTCGGTTGAGATTTTCCACACCATCCGCTTGTGCCCCCGCGTGTCGGGCACGACAAAGTGAGGGTGGACGGCCCTGCCGAGCTCCATCGCCCAGTTGTTGAACTTGGGCTCGCCGGTTGCCACGGACATACGGTTCAGCGCAAACATCCAGATGGTGAGGTAGTGGTGATACTGGCCGTCGCCGTCGGCCCCAAACTCGGCCATTTTGCCGATCCGCAGCCCGCCCGTCAACGGCGCATCTTCCGTTGCACCAGGCAGCCTTTGGGATCCGTCTCTGGTTCTCCCAAGAATGTTGTGCACCGAGTCCACCAGGCCGGCGGCGAGGTTGAGATAGCGCACCGCGGATGTCTCCTTGTACAGGGTCAGAAAGTTGATGACGCCAAACGCATCCGTCCACAAGTATCGGCCGTGATGTCCGCCCGCGCCGGGCGAAGCAGGAGGAGTCCATTTTTCCGCGTCTTGAGCTGTCGCATTGTCGAGCGGACCGTATACGGCCTCCATGGCTAGCTTGAAGGCGTCGATGGCATCCATGCTCACGGTCGTTGTTTGGTCAAACTCACGAGGTCATGGTTTGCTTGGTGAAGAGATGTCCCGTGATGATGTGAATTTACAATCTGCTCCTCGACATGTGGCGGCGCTTTCAAGGAATTGGCCGCGTGCAGACGAAACTCTACACCATGATTTCCGCCTCAATTTTCGGGGCACATTTCCACATGATGATTCCATTGGCTGGGCCTCGAGGACAACGTAAGTGCCACCCGAGCATAACCATGGTTCGGACTGGCCCTGCTCCGTGGCTCCAAGTTTGTTGGGTATGATGCTAGCATAACCCGGGCTACATCGAAATGATGACGATAAACGAGCCAAGAGACCTTGATGCAGGAGGAACTTGCTCAGAAAACGACAAGCTACAGCAACGGTAGCCGATCAATGGCTGACATTTGGTCACGCAGTGTATACATAGACATAGACTGTCCACACGTGACGACACTGCATACATGTACTTGGGGTCGTAATGTGGCGGCGCCCTGCGAAAGCCTGAGCCCAAAAGTCTGCCAACTCGGCTTTTCGGTGCATTTGTTCCTGCGTCATCAAATCAAAATCACTCTACAAGCTGCCCCCTTTGATTTAGCCAATCTTCCATGGCAGCAAACCAGCGGCAGTCGTGAGAATCGGCCACGGCCCTCAAGAACCAGGCGTCCAGATACCTCTCTCAACGACGGGATCCCCAACCAGCCCAAGCATGCAAACCCCATCCAGGCAACACCACAACGAGCAGGCGCACCAAGCAGATAGATATGCATCGCTCATACCAGAGATCCTCTGGACAGAGGGCCGATACGTCCAAGGCCTAGAGCGCCTCTCCGCACTCCAACACCTAGTGCTCGACCAGGCCGTTCTGCCCGCCGACGCGGCCAGCGAAATATTCGGAAACGTAGACGCCCTCTTAGCCCTGCACAAGCAGCTCCTCGCCCAGATGAGGGCCACGTCTGCCCTTCCGCGCCGCGACCAAGATTGGAGCACGGCATTCTCCGCGTTCGCCAAAAACCCCGACATCTACGTCGCCTACATCGCCAACCACAAGGCCCAGATCAGTGCTGCGGTCCGGCAACACGCCAGAATCCTCACCACGTCCGGACCCCCAGAGGTCCTGCAGCTCGTCTCGGACCGCTACATGATTCACCACACGTTTCAGTGGCCGTACGCGCGCTTTGCTCGATATTCCCGCATCCTAAAAGTGCGTCAGGCCGCGGTGGCTGCACTGCGACCCTTAGCGGGTGCTGACTGCTCGTTAGGAACTGCTGCATGAGATACGGGCCGACGAGGCTAAGCATGCGAGCCTGCAAGCGGCGGCGGCGGCATACCACGATATTCTGAGGAGAGCCGAGGCGCTGACGCAAAAGTCTCTAGACCTCGACGCCGGGCATCTTTTGGACCGGGTCGAGGATTGGAAGGGCTTGGATCCGAGCACCTTTGGCAAGTTGGTGTTATTTCAGACCCTCATATGTCGTCCTGGAGCGAAGCTAGAGTTAGAGGCACCGGTATGCTCGTTCCATTGTGCGTAATTTCTTTTTTTACATTTTGCCCACGGGGCCGTTGACATGCCGTGCCTGGCTACAGTTTCAGGTGTATCTTTTCGAACGCATCCTCATCTGCTGCAAGAAGAGGAGGCACGGGGCGGCGGAAAATCCCGAAGCCGCACCCTTGCGCCTCTACGGTCGCATCTTCCTCGTCAACATCGTGGACATGGGCGTTTCACCTGGTACTGTCTGGCTCTGCCGAGTTGTCTGTCCCGTCGTGTTCTTCTTGGCCGGTTGCGACTGACACGAGACCAGGGCCTGCGCATCGCTTGAATCTCCTGTGGAGGATGGCTCATCGAGTCGAGCCGACGACTTTGATCTTTTCGAGTGCTGGTGTGATGAGCTTATGGGTGGACAAGATACAGCGGCTGAGGACGTGTAATATGGAGCGTCGGAATCAGGATGGCTGATGCGGGAATTTCAAAAAGTATTGAAGTGCAATTTTGTGTCCAACTCTGACATGTTTGTCTACTGACTGACTGTTCTACATTGCCCTGTTGCCACGTCACGGCCTGTCATGTGTGTTTGTTATATCCTGGTTGCAGCTTGTGGTAGAATATATTTACCCGAAAATAGGTTATACTGGTATTATAATACTATTAATAGCATAGAGCGCGATATTAACTGTGGATTTAACCCCACGATCCATCAGTCTCCAGTTTCGGCATCACCGTCCCGAGCGCCACATAAATGGCACGTTGACGTCGCAACGCGCCGCGGCTACATTGATACCAGGCTTTACCCCATGCTTTCGCATCCAGTGAGGTGGAGCTCCGGCTGAGACCGTTAGTCTGCGAGTAGCCAAAACGATTCAGTAAGTAGAATTATAATGCTCGCCCCATAAACATTGACGCCATTGAAACACATTCAGACCCGGTAAATTCGTCTTCCACTCCCGTTGGTGAGTCACGGGCAAAGAAATATATTGACACCAGGAGGGGCGGAGAGATACTAACCAATTCAGCTTTAACATGCGTTAAATGTCATAATAATTTTGATTAACTACCTAGGTACTTTGTCGTGCGTACATGTTTAAATTCTTCAAACACACTACGACCCATGGTACGAACATAACATGTAGTTGGACTTGTAGTCACCTAGTCACGGACGTTGGAACGGGTAGTTTCTGCGGCACATCCTCTATATCATAGTTTCAAGAATGGCTCCTTTTGGAACCATATGCGGCACAAAGCTATCATCAGACCCTGGCGGTGACACTTCTCTCCTTCTCTGTAACCTAATATTCCTCATGACTATCGACGGTTGCAGCTCATTCCCACTAAATCGATCAATCTACCATTCCGCAATCACAGCCCGTCATTCTCCGAAACGCATCTCCGGCTAAATCTCTCATCTGCTTCAAAGCTGCTGCTGCCACGGCAATTTTCGCATCCTTTCCACTCCCTCGTATACTGTGAAAAGTTTTCTTCTTGTGTATCATCAGTGCGCAAACCACATTGCTGTCCGTTATTGCTGACGCCCCTGTGTCTGAACCACAAGGCACTGGCGAAACGCAAAGTCGCCATGATCGGCAACAAAAGGTGTCTTGCATGAGCTTGGTCAACTGTGTGACTGGGTGCCCTCCAGCATAGGTATCGTATAACGTCATGTCTTGAAAATATGGTGCGATGAACTTGGTGAAGAAATTGCGGACTGAATTGTAATCGTACTTGGAATCTTCGTACATTGCCCCCACAACCGCTTCCAGAATATCCGAAAGTGCTTTGGGAGGATGTTCCGTATTTAGCCAGAAATCTAGCTGCAAAACGCCGTCCTCGGTCTGCGATTTCGCCTTCTCGATTTGTTCGACAAAGCCGGCAATATGACCCATAATAGATGAACCTGTGCTTAAGATGTGCCTATGTAGTCCAAGCTCAACACAGAGAAAGGAGAAAAAGTGATTCGAGGCCATTGCCATTTTGTGCTCTGTGAGCCACTGCGGATCGGCTAACGGGTATCGTTGAAACAGGAAGTCAACGATGGCCACGTCAAGAAGTGCATCGCCTAGAAATTCCAGCCTTTGGTAGTTTGGAAGTTCTGGCTCATATGGGTATGACGGATGCTTGAACGCGCTTCGTAGAAGTTTTGGTGACCTAAAGTTATACCCAATGGATGCCTTAACCTTGCCCACCGCAAGAAGTTCAATGGGACGCGATGGGATAGTTTGCCAAGCCGGTTGAACGTATTTCTCGTAGTAGTCGCTATACTTTTTCATCCTGTGATTCTTGCTTTGCACCATTACAGTGACCGCCTTCACAGCTAGATCCATGCCTTCTGGTTCTGTCATGTAGGCAGCGCCGATAAGAGCCTCGCACACGTCGGCGATAGATTTATCCGCCAGTCTCTGAGTAAGTCCTACTGGCTTGTGTTTCTTTCCTTTCCGCAGTACGAGATCTGGGTACCACGAGCGTCGATCAAAGCCTCTGGACCTCACGTATTCCTGTAAACCTCTATCCACAGCGTGATTGAAAAGATTCTTGTTGCATATTAGAATCATGCGCTCCACATGATATTCGAATTCATTCCTGTTTGGGATTAATGTGAACAGCGATATTGTTGTGGCCATTTTTAGGAACGCGTCACCTAGGAACTCAAGTCGCTCGTAATTCTTGCTAGTTTGAACGTCAACATCCTCCTCACCTTTTGTGAGCGCTTCCAAGGCTAATGGGGGGTAAATGGCCAAGTCAATAGACCCACAAGCATCCATCGCGATGGCTGCTGATTCAATGGAATATATTGCAACCGGAAGGGCGAAAGCTGTGACGACAACATCAACAGGAAGCTGGAACATGTTAGCTTGAGTATTGGGAGATTGAATGTATGCCTTACGGTAGATATAGCCAACGGCTCTAAAATAAGGAAACAGCCCCTGGGTAAATGCATACCCCCTTGATCGGGCTCGCAGAGCAAATTTCTTCTCAGTGGGAGCAGTTCTGCGTCGAATACTGGTTGCTCTGAGTTCCAGATTATGCTTTGCCTCAATTTATATGATAGGCTATTGCTATACTGGGCAATAGTCTTCTGCACCCGAAAATAACTGCGAGACCTTGGAAACGGCACGTCGTTTGGAACCGGGTCAAATGCTTGATAGTCTTTGTTCACCCCGCTAGTGAAGAATTTCCGAGATCCATCGCACGGATCAGTAACAAATCGATCCATGAAGTCTACTGGTCTTGTTAAAAGAGTGGGAAAAGTGGGAGCGCAAGCCACCTCTGATCCTTTAACAATATCCCAGTCGATAACGGTTCTCTCATCCCACGGGCAGTCAGTCTCCTTCAGATTGGTCGCTGCTGTTGAGAGCACACAAGGGGCCAGAAAATACGGCAGGCTACCCGAATCGCAATCAAAGTCCTTGCTGAATACATCGTTGAATAATATGAGGGTGAATTTGGCCAAACTAGCTACGTCCTCTCCAGTTAATGTGAGAGGCACGGCGAATTGATGTAGTGCCAGAGTTGACTGGACATCGTTGTCTATCCATAGTCTTATCGGCTCGATTGTAGGCAATGCGGCATGTGTCAAGATGCAAAGCGGACGGCCAGGTCTTCCAGTAGGGCCTGGACCCTTGATTGATAGTGTAGTGACGAATAATTGTGACGTTGCGCGCTGGGCCCATAGCTCTGGTTTAGATTTCATACCATATTCCGATTGCTTTTTTTCGCTGAGGGCAAGCCGAGCATTACGCATTTTTGGCAAGAGCCTTGTTAGGGTTGAACGAAAGTTCCCATCAATATACTTATAATTGAGCAGCTCGATACATGCCTTGAATGCTGCCGAGCCTCGTGCCAGTAGCTTACTGCGTTGAGGAGTACCCGAGAATGATTTCACTGGACATGAATCAGGCAACAGTACTATTGCAGTAAACTTGCCCATTTCAGTAGATGTGACAATATATTCGGGATGAGCATCCGCGCCGCCGCAAACCGAGGATACAAACTTGGCCAACACGCCTCGGCTAGAATCAAATGTCAGTCTGGCGCCCGTTTGCGGGACCTCGAACGAGATTTGTGACTTGGCTTGTAACCCAAGAAGGCCGTCGTTTATCTCTACATCGTTAATTTTCCTGTCAGAGGGAAGAGAAGAACAGAAGCGTCGCAAGGCATGGACATCTCTCGTAGCCTGTATTAATTTACGGCGATGTTGTATATTATCCCGTTCAACCATGTTGACGTATACAGAATTTGTCTGGCGCGCCCTTCCTTTAGATTGAATGTATTGGATTGCAGAATCGTAGAGATCGAATCTAATAATCAGGTCGCACTCGGGTATATCAATACCTTCTTCTGCAACTTGAGTTGCAAAAATGCAGTTTATTTCGCCATACCTAAAGCGGTTTAACGACTCGATCTGGTCTTTAATAGACATGTTGACGATGCTGGAAGATGCTGGCTGCGATCCTACCTATTAAGGGATTAGATTGTGCTGTGAATCTATAATATGGGATTTGCGGAATAATTACATACCACAAAGCCTGCAGTCATATCCTGTATCCTCAACGCAGATCGATTGAACGCTTCTGATAGTAGAAAGGCGATATATCTTTTCTGAACAAAAACTATGCATCTTGTACTTTGTTGAGACTCAAATGCGTCGTGAAGTATTTCGTGAAGCGCGTCAACTTTAAGCGAGAAGTCTTGGTTCGACTCATTGTGAACGTGATCTGTTACGAGCTTTCTAGCTCTTGCTTTTATCAAATCATCGTCAATCTGCTCGTGAGCTTGACAATATGTCCCTGATACCTGAGAAATAAGCTCATCAGCCGTATTGGCGGTGAGCTCGGTTATTGTTAGATACTGGTCAGGGCTCTTGAAAAGTTGCCTCCAGTATTGATCTGCACCCCAAGGGCCGATGGTGGAAGCAGTATATCTAGCAGCCTCCAAGTGGATCTGGAAGTTTGACTGATACCTGCAAAGTGTTGATAAGGATAGAGAAAGAGTGGTCATGGTCATTTCATCCGCCGGGTCTGCCAAGGGACCGTACTCAATAACGCGTTCGATTTGTTGCTTCCTACCCATGCCTGCGAGCAGGACTTCTTCAGACACAGTAGCAATCTTGCTGCAAAGCGTAGCTTCTAGATCAAGAGCAGCAGCATAGAAATCGCGGGTCTTTGAATCGACAGGGGACGCCGTCATGGCCAAAATCCGAGGATGATGTGCCTTCATCCTGATGTAGTGATCTCGCATGATAGTAGCATATGGGTGGTTTTTTTTGGTGTGATGTGCCTCGTCAAAAACCAGCAAGTTG